CAGAGCTGGGCCTCAGACCCAAGCTGTTTGTGTACATTTGAAATGTACCACTGTTCATTGATGCGCTACCTGTTCCTTAGGAGTTGTTTCAGAATTCGTACGTGCTGGAAGGAAGCTTGGTGCTCTGTGAGGCCTCTGTCGTGCCTGCAGCTGCAGGGCTGCGCTGGGACTGTGGGGCAAGTGTTTCCAGTGACTTGTGTTTTTCCTGCCTTGATTTGCCAGCGGGCAACTCCCTAAGGATCTTTGCACTTGAAAAGACCCCACCAGAAGCAATCTCCGGTGTTTCCATGTGGTGGTTCCGTGTGGCAGCTGCATTCCCACGCGATCTTTCCCAACTGGTATGAATGCCGCATGCCCAACCTTGACTGTCCTGTGGGTGGTGTCTGCTTGGCGGCCTATGCAGGAAGAAGCGAGCACAGGCTGTAGCGCAGTGGGCACTGGCTGGCCGTGGTTGGACTTGAGGGGTGTTTGTTTCTCTGGGTGATAGTTGCCTTACACTTGGGCGAGGCTTGCTTTGGCATTAGTGTACTGCTTTAGTACAATGGTAGCTGGCCACATGGTTGTTTTCATTTAGCATTGTAAAGCAAAAAGTGTGGCTAGCAAAAGTAATCAACCTGAGAATCAGGGTGGCAGAATAGGGTAGGGACATGTTTAAACGGACAGAGAACCTTTAGCCAGGGTGAAGCAGAGAGGGCACATTCCAGAACATAGGAGAGGACAAACCGAAGGAAGTGAGGCGCCTGAAGACTGATGGACGTGGGAAGCAGTGGAGACAATGGTGTGGTGTTGCAAGGACCAAATACCCAGCAGTGTCAGCAAGTGGCAAACTGAGCCCCACCATTGGTTGGAGCGGCACAGGCAGCCAGGTGGGAAGGGGAGTTCGCTGGGAGCTCAGGAGGTGAACCCAGGCAAAGAACTGCCCATCCTGATCATTTATTTGATTGGACCAGGAGCAGAGACACAACAGCAGATCCCAAACAGGTGGTGCAGGAACAGGGTGGATCTCACAGTCCAGACTCCCACCAGGGTCTCATTGGGTGCCATTTGGGTAGGGAGGGAGGCAGAGGCTTACTAACAGGACTGCGTATGCACTGAGGTAGGAACAAACTCATTTATGGCTGAGTGCATTGCATTGACATGACAAACTATGGGTTCCACTCAAAATAGGTCTGGATAGCCCCCAGACCTAACAGCCAGGAGAGCCAAAATTCCACCAGTGGCACATTAGGTGCCATTTGGTACAGAGTGGCAAAGGCTGTACACAAGTACTGAGCTGAGAGTGGACTCACATCAAGCTCCGTGTATGGCACTGGTCCCACAGGGAAAGTAACAATTTTGACATCCTACGGGTCAGAATAGGACCATGTGGTCCTCAGATGTAATGGCCAGCAGGTTCCGGCAAGATCCGCACCACCAACAATCTAGTTATATAGAACACCTGGTGTCTCCCTAATCTTTGGAATTGAACTGCTTGAACTAGAAGTAGGAGAATGGTTGTACCAACAGCAGTGCAGCCACAGCATGGGATCATAGGAGGTGAGACTGGTGAGCCAGGAGCTGGGGCTACAGAGACCACGGTGTAAGTCCAACATAAACCCCAGATCTGGAACTCGCTGGAGGGAGTGGCACAACTGACTGCAAACAAAGAGCTGTGTACCAACTGCTGTAAGTAAAATCAAACTATAGCCTTGTGGGTGACACAGCTTAGAAACCTGCCCCGGGCCCAGCACTGTGGCGCAAGTGGTTGAAGTCCTCGCCTTGCATGCCCGGGATCCCATGTGGGTGCTGGTTCTATCCCGGCAGCCCCGCTTCCCTTCCGGCTTCCTGCCTGTGGCCCGGGAAAGCAGTCGAGGACGGCCCAAAGCTTTGGGACCCTGCACCCGCGTGGGAGACCCGGAAGAGGCTCCTGGCTTCAGACTGGCATAGCATCGGCCGTTGTGCTCACTTGGGGAGTGAATCGTCGGATGGAAGATCTTCCTCTCTGTCTCTCCTCTCTGTATATCTGCCTTTCCAATAAAAATAAAATCTTAAAAAAAAAAAAAAAAAGTAACCTGCCCCAAGGAGAAGAATCTGCTAACCAAAAGTACAATGACCAAGAGCAAAAGAAGAGACAGAGGCACAATGAATATTACTGAATACTCTCCTGTAAAGGAGCAAAATCGTTTGTCAACTTCAGAGTACACTGAGGAAGACATCGAGAAAACAGGGGATACAGAATTCAAAACATTTGTTATAAAGCTTCTTATCAACGATGAGAAGCATGTGAAGCAGGTGTTCAAGGAATTTAAGGAATATGTCCCACAGGAAATGAATCAAATGAAAGCTGATATATCAGAAAATAAGATTACAGTGGAACAAATTAAAGTACAGTGGAGAGTCTCCAGAATAGAATGAAGGAAGCAGAAGAATCTCAGAATTGGAAGATATTTCTTGTCACTATGGGGAAGCAATTAAAAAGCTGAAGGCAGAGCTGGGTCAAGCTAAAAAAAGTATCCAAGAGTTAAGAGACAGCATTAAAAGGCCAAATATAAGAGGTATGGGAGTCCCAGAAGGTGCAGAAAGCGAAGCTGGGTTTAAGGCTGCATTCAATGAAATAATAAATGAAAATCCCCTAATCTAGAGAAAGAATTGGGAAACAAGATCCAGGAGGGGCACAGAACTCCCAACAGGGTTGATCAAAAGCGATCTTCACCAAGACATATGATCATGAAGCTCTCTTCAGTTGATCATAAGGAAAAGATCCTTCAGTGTGCACGTGAGAAAAGTCAAGTGACATATAAAGGAATGCCAGTTAAACTCACAGGAGACCTCAAACAGGAAACTCAACAGGCAAGAAGAGAATGGAGTGACATATTCCAGAGTATAAAAGTAAGAAATTTTCGGCCTAGGATAACGTACCCAAGAAAGCTTTCCTTTGTCTTTGAAAGTGAAATCAAATTCTTCCACGGTAAAGACCTGCCTTACAAATGATACTTCAAGATGGTCTCTTGACAGAGAAGGAGCATAGAACCCACCACAACCAAAGGAGAGAGCTTGGAAGTCTAACCAGGACTGGAGTGCCACAGGCAGGCAGCGAGCTCAGAGTCAGGAACTGGAAGGTGTGTCCCTCTGGCCCTATGTAGTAGCCTCTTCCACAGCACGGTGGAAGTCTCTAGCAGGGGACTGGAGTGCCACAGGCAGGCAGCGAGCTCAGAGTCAGGAACTGGAAGGCGTGCCTCAGCGGCAGGGTGTTCTCCCCTCACTGGGGAGGCTCCAGGAAGCCAGGCAGTGGGGAGGAGCTCCCTGTCTTCCCTGGCACAAGATGCAACTGGAAGTGCCTTCCGCCTTCCTATTGCCCACAGTATCTCTGAATGTGGTCCATGTGTGCCTGGGGTTTCTTTACCCGTTACATAAACTGTAGCCAAAAAAAAAAAAAAAAAATAGCTTTCAGTCCTTTTTCCCAGGCAGGTCTGAACAGGACCTGCAGAGCTTGACTGAAGTGCCAGGTAGCGTGGAGAGTTAATTTTATTATTTATTTATTTTAAAAAAGATTTATTTATTTATTGGAAAATCAGATATATAGAGAGGAGGAGAGACAGAGAGGAAGATCTTCTGTCTGATGATTCACTCCCCAAGTGACCACAATGGCCGGTGCTGTACAGATCCGAAGCCAGGAGCCAGGAACTTCTTCCGGGTCTCCCACACGGGTGCAGGGTTCCAAAGCCTTGGGCCGTCCTCGACTGCTTTCCCAGGCCACAAGCAGGGAGCTGGATGGGAAGTGGAGCTGCCAGGATTAGAACTGGTGCCCATATGGGATCCCAGCGCGTTCAAGGCGAGGACTTTAGCCGCTAGGCCATGCTGCTGGGCCCGGGGAGTTAATTTTAAAAGGAGAGGTTTTAGCACAGTGAGGAGGTAATGAAGCTTGTGTCCTTTCAGTGTTGTAATCCTTGCTTCCTGCTTCAGTCTGAAGGGCTTGGCATCCTGAAGAGTGTTTGTTATTGCTGCAGTTCTCAGGCTCGTTTCTGGTACCTTGTGGCTCCTCAAGCCGCCAAAGTCGTAGGGTGAAGGCAGGTGGAAGGAAATGGCAGATAGTGTGGGGTGGTGAGTCCAAGGGAGTCTGGAGGACAGTGTGGAGGTGGCTCAGTGGCCCTGGGATCTGCCCGCCTGACTGGTGGATCCCGGCTGGTTGGGTTGGGGGGCCCTCTGCCCTGAGTGTGGTAACTGCCTTCTGAGCTGGCCTTGTCGGGGGCTTCCCAGTGCTGGGGGGCTTCAGTAGGGCTGTGGCTGTCGGCAGCCCCAGGTTGTGCTGTGGGTTTCCTATACGCTCCATGCTCTGTGCCCGTGCTGCCCCCGCTGCAGTTCCCGGCTTGGTAGAGACTGCCCAGAGTAGGGGTGCAGGCAGTCGCTGGCCTGCTGCTGCCCCAGGAGGGCTGCTGCTGGAGCTCTGCATAGGTGTGGGTGTTAGGCGGGGGCTGGCATTTGGCAGGTCCTGGGTGGAATCCAACACGGTCGCCCGGCCCAGTTACTGCAGAACATGCTCTTCGGCAAGTCTTGGAGCTGCGGGTTTGAGACTCATGGCTAGAAAGTACTTTTAGCTGAGGGCAGGGTGATGTCTCCTGGTTTCCGGGCAGGCTGTGGCCTCTGTGGGCAAGGGTGGCCTATCCCTTAGTGAGCAGAGTTCATCCCCGGGGCAGCAGCGTTGTGCGCATGTGGGACTAGGTTAGGGTTCCCGTAGGGTGCCACAGTGGCTTTGCTTTGGTGGCTGAGGAGCCTTCTGAGTGTGAAACCTTTAGTCTTTTACTGCCTGCACTTTGCTCCCAGCCCCTAGGAGTGGCGCCCGGTGCCCAAGAACGCCTACCACCCCGCCCGTAGCCCGCCTTTGCTCCCCAAGCTCCCCGGAAGCTGGGCGTTGGGTTGTTCCTATGGAGCCATGCTTCACATCTAGGACCTTGGTGGGGTGTGTGTGTTTTGGTGACAACTTTGATTTTAATTCTGATTTATTTTTTATGCTTCTGTTTCAGTGTCCCGGGTCATGAAACTGAATCCACAACAGGCTCCATTATATGTGAGTAAATGCTGAGGCTGCGTTTCAGTTTGTACTTACCAGCATTGCTAGTTACAGTCCGCTTGGTTTGTGGTAGGGATCATCAGAACGTTTTACCCATGTACGTGTGGCTTGTGGATGAGATTTACTTCAGAAATGAAGGCTGACTTAGTAGGCTCTAAGTGATGCCAGTCAGAACCCCTGGCCCCCAGCAGGAAACTGGAGGCCCTGGAGGCGGATCCCCTCGCTCCCACTAGGTGGCGCCTGCTGCTGGCCTGGGGTGGCTGGACAGGGCTCCCTGAGGGGGCAGAAGGAATGGGACCCCATGGTTTGGAGAAGTCAGTGGCCCAGAGAGGGTGGACAGGGCTCTGAAAAATAAGGAACAGGGCTGTCGTGGTGCAGCCGACTATTCCTCCACCTGTGGTATCCGCATCCTGTATGGGCACGAGTTTGAATCCCAGCTGCTCCACTTCCTCCCTGCTGCTGGCCTGGAAAAGCGGTGGCTGGCCCAAGTCCTTGGGTCCCTGCACCCACGTGGATGCCCTGAGGGGGTTTTAGGCTCCCAGCTTCAGATCGGCTCAGCTCTGGCCAGCGTGGCCATTTGCGGAGTGGACCAGTGGATGGAAGATCTCTCTCTCTCTAATTTTCTGTCTGTTGTCCTCCCCCATCCTAACTTTGACGTTCAGGTTAAATAACTGTTTATAAAATCAGGCAAGTGTGGTTGGGGTCCCGTCCCTGGGACTGGTGCAGGATGGCAGACACATGGGCAGCAGTGGCTGTGGCGAAGCGGGGTGACCCTGCCTGCTGAGCGTGGGGAGCTGCACCCGGGCTTCTCCCTGGGCCCCTGGGTGTGTTTTGCTCCTCCAGAGCCTGGTCCAGCTGCCCATCTCTTAAGTGGATTACCTGCCTCAGCCTTAAGAGTGCAAGCTGACTGTGAGGCCTCAGCCTTTTGTGGGCTGGGGACCGCTCAGCTGCAGGAAAGAACTGTATTTACATAATGACACTTTGTCACGTGTTTTTTGGTCTAACTTTGAATCAAGAATTTGTTTCCTTCTGTTGGGCTTTCCAGTTTTCAGAAACTTTCTTTGAAGTTCCCGCCCTTATGTGTGGTAGTTGTATTTTTGTATTTTTCCTGAATATTTTCAGAAAAAAGGAGCATAGGATACACACTTTTCAGGACATTGCCTACACGATGCTTTCCAAGACACTGGATGGATTCCAAGCTTTCAGATAACAGTGAGGGATTCATGTCTCCATTTGGTACATGGAGGAAGCCTTGCTGTCAGTGTCAGAGCAAATGTCAAGTTCATTCAGGCCAGTGTGTCCTCTGGTCTGGATGCACAAATTTCTTTCGGTGCTGACTGGCTCAGAGTCCCAGGGTAACTGACAAAAGAAAGGGTGCAGAGGTGTCCACCTGGGTGGGCGTGGACAGGCCCTGCCCTGCTGGGTGGGCGTGGAGATGGAGGCCCTGCCTTCCCAGGTGGACATGGAGAGACATAGAGGCCCTGCCCTGCTGGGTGGGCGTGGAGACAGAGGTCCTGCCTTCTCGGGTGGGTGTGGAGATGGAGGCCCTGCCTTCTCGGGTGGGTGTGGAGACGGAGGCCCTGCCCTGCTGGGTGGGCATGGAGAGGTGGAGCTGCAGAGTGTGAAGGACCATGGTCTCTGAAGCAAGTTGGGACATGGCCCTGTGTGCAGTGTGGCACTTGCTGGCCTGGCAGGAATGGACACTTTGTTCCTATGGAGGTGGGGTGGGGTCCCTGGAGATGAGATTGTAGATGGTCTGTGTGCTATGGTGGTCCCTGAGGGCTGTGTAAGCTAAGCTGCTTTGCCTCTTAGAACAGGCAGCAGTGTTTTTCAGGAAGTACCTTGATTAAGGGGTTAGCACCTGGCATTAGTCTTACTGTACTTTACAGTATAAGCTTTTTCAAGACTGAATGACTAATTTGAATGGCAGAGTGAAAGGTGGGGTGCTTTTCCTTCAGCTGCATAACTCACCGGATGTCACGGTTGGAGTGGGGTTGAGAGTGGGCCACAATGAAAGTAGGAGCCTAGACTTTGATCCAGGTGTGCGCCTGCACAGCATGGACCCGAGTCCTCGAGCCGTCTTGGCTGCTTTCCCTGGCACCTTAGCTGGAGCCAGATGGAGGTGGGGCAGCCAGGACTACAGTCCTCGTGAGGTGCCAGCATCGCAGGCGGTGGCTTCACACACTAGCCCCGGTTCTAATGAGCTCCTGTGTATCTGGCTAGTGAAGGCAGATCTGCTTCGCAGGCAGGGCAGAGCAGGCCCTGGTGCAGGCGAGCCGCTCGGGCCCGGTGGGTTTGACAGGAGACTGTGGACAAGGTGCGGACAGTGATTCTTGCGCAGTTAAGTAGGAGCGCTCTTGCAGAGTTTGCATTTGGGGGTTTGGAAGTTCCTCCTGGCACACTCCCTGCGGAGTCAGTGGTGCTACAGGTTAACCATTGCCAGCTGAACTGCAGCTTTCCTCTGCCACACCCCTGGCACATCTCCCCACCGGCCTCATGCTTAGCATGACAGCCCCACTCATCTTTGTGGATTTGCTTGCAGGCACTGGTCTCCCAGCACCCTTGGCCTGTGGCTGGCTGTGCGGTCCAGCCCTCGCTCCGCCCCTCCTTCCATCCTAGGTGCTGGCTCCTTTGGCCTCTCGGTGTGAGTGGCTGATGTGCACCCAGGTGGAGCTTGGGGTTTCCTTGGGGCAGTTTGAATGTGTGGTTACCAAAGAGAGGGCCTACTTCTGGTGAACGTTTGTGAGTCTTGGGTCCAGTGTGGTAGCCTCGTGGTTAAAATCTTTGCCTTATGTGTGCTGGGATCCTAAATGGGCACTGGTTCATATTCCAGATGTTCCAGTTCCCATCCAGTTCTCTGCTTGTGGTCTGGGAAAGCAGCAGAGGACAGCCTAAAGCCTTAGGACCCTGAACGCGCGTGGGAGATGTGAGAAGCTCCAGGCTCCTGGCTTTGAATCAGCTCAGCTCTGGCCATTGTGGCCACTTGGGGAGTGAACCAGTGAATGGAAGAGCTTTCTGTCTGTCTTCCTATACCTATGCCTCTCCAATAAAAAATAAATTTCAAAAGAAAAAGATTTGTGGCTCAAGGGAAGGCACTGACTGAACCTTGCATCCTGAGTGTTGGCCACCAGGAGTATCCTCTGGTGAGCATGGGCCCGGGAGTGTCCTCCGGTGAGCATGGGCCCGGGAGTGTCCTCCGGTGAGCATGGGCCTGGGAGTGTCCTCCGGTGAGCATGGGCCCGGGAGTGCCCTCCGGTGAGCATGGGCCCGGGAGTGTCCTCTGGTAAGCATGGGCCCGGGAGTGCCCTCCGGTGAGCATGGGCCCGGGAGTGTCCTCCGGTAAGCATGGGCCCGGGAGTGTCCTCCGGTGAGCATGGGCCCAGGAGTGTCCTCTGGTGAGCATGGGATCAGGAGTGTCCTCCGGTGAGCATGGGCCCGGGAGTGTCCTCCGGTGAGCATGGGCCTGGGAGTGTCCTCTGGTGAGCATGGGCCCGGGAGTGTCCTCTGGTGAGCATGGGCCCGGGAGTGTCCTCTGGTGAGCATGGCTCAGGGAGTGTCCTCTGGTGAGCATGGGCCCGGGAGCGTCCTCTGGTGAGCATGGGCCCGGGAGTGTCCTCCGGTGAGCATGGGCCCGGGAGTATCCTCCAGTGAGCATGGGATCGGGAGTGTCCTCCGGTGGCCTGACAGGTCAGCAAGGCTCATGGCTGTGGCGTCCCAGCCCTGCACATTTCTCATCTGTATTCGGGGTTCCGTTCAGATCCTGTAGTGTATGCATGCCTGAACCATGGAGAATCACGTGCACTTTCAAATTTTTATTTACCTAATTTTTAAAAAAAGATTTGTTTCTTGAGAGTGAGCGAGCGAGCGAGCCTGGGCTCCTATCTGCATCTCCCATGTAGTGTCAGCACTTGGCTGTCCTTGGTTGTCTCCCAGGCCCCTCTGCAGGGAGCTCAGTCAGAAGTAGAGCCGCTGGCCACACATGGGCGTTCCTCCAGGATGTCCCACCGTGCTGCCCTCAGCACCACAGCACTGGTCCTGGTGTATAGGTGGGAAAGGCCCTTGTGCGTTTCCAGTGTGGTAGAGCTTGCCTTGGGTGACCGCTGAGTCTGGCTTGCGCCGAGTGACCGGCAGGGGGCGTGGATTCTCAGCGAACACTTGCTTCATGGGACAGGTTGCATGTTCCCCTTTTGGCCCATGGAACCCTCTTTCCTACCATTTCTCATTTCTTTGAGATTGGGTAATGTATTTTGTGTTTATTCTAGGCACTTGGCATACCTTGATAAAATACTAGCACTTTATATATTCTTGAGGAATTAGTCATTTTAATCTGCGTGATACGGTTAAAGCCGTGTTGACCCATCGTAAGCATCTGGCACGTTAGGCGTGTGGCTGTGGAAAGGATTGCCCTTCCTCTCTGAGGGACGGCCTGGTGTGGGAGGTGTTGCTGTGGGAGCTGCTGATGCTTGGGGACACTGGCCAGTGCCAAGGACAGGTGCCGCGGCCATGTTGTTCCCCGCCCCCCACCAAGCAGAGCTTCCTGTCCTGGATAAAGCTGGTGTCGAGGCACTTGCTGACTCTGAATCACTTTTTTCTGTGGTCTTGTAGTGTGCTGCACCCCATGTTAGGAGTGCCCTCTTTAGGACTGGCTGTCGCCTGGCCTGATGGGCTCAGAGACCGGAGAGGGGCTGCGATCTGCCTGTGGACGGGACAGAAGACGGGCTTTGCGTCTGCAGGAACGCCATGATGTGTTGTCCTCAGCCTCTGGCCACGTCACCTGCTCTCAGTGAAGGCACTGTGCCGTCGGGCCAGCCAGCCCAGGCCGAGCATGCTGAAGGATGCCCCTGGAGCATAGCATCTCCCGTGGGGCCTGTCCCACAATCGCAGGGACCGCTGGGGGAGACTCCTGGTTCCCCTGGAGCCTGCAGACCCAGCTCCAGGAAGGCAGTGAGCGACAGAGTTCAATTGTCTAAGGACAGCCTGTCCTGCTCCCTTATCCC